AATAGTGTAAGTATGATAACAGGAGGTAAAAATGTAAAGCAGATATGAAATCCATATATTGACCTTAATGATTGAAGGGGAGGTAACCCGATAAAAGTAAATAATTCTACATAGTATCCTTTATTATCCAGTTTGACTGTCACAGGTTCATTGACAATAATTTCGAGTCTTTTTTGCTAACCCCCCACCCCACCCCACCTCCCCACCGCCACAAAAAGTCGCAAGTACATTCGTAGAAATAGAAAACCCTCTTTATAATTGTTTGAAAGTCCCACACACCAACCGAATATAGGTCAGCACTAATTGTATCATAGAATAATCTCTTGTTAATGACATACATGTAACAACCTACACCCAGGATATACGTTTATGAACATAAGTGATATCAATATCGGGTTTATGTACATCTAGCGAAATTATAGGAGCACAATTATAGTGTAATAAATAAGGACTTTGTAGGATGTCATTATCTAATAATGTGTGATGAATATTTCTCCAAGTGGCACGCCATTTAATTTTCGTGAAGCAATGTTGTATACACACATATGAAGGGCAGCATTGATATTTAATGTTATTATTTATTTTTATTAAGAAAGAAAATTCAGGGCTAGCTCTGGGTCAAAATTCAGTTTCGCCAAACCAAATTTTTTTTTTTTTGCTATAAGCGCGCGAACAGATTCCGGAACTCGCCCTCACCCTCACCCGACGAGCCCTTAATTTCCTCATATAATAATAACACATATGCTAATTATATAATTACATTATTTATTCACTGTTTTAACAACAATACATCAAACATAACACAGTATATGGTAAAAGAGTTTATAAACATGGAATTATTACAGGCCTTCTGCATCTCGACAGTTTGCTGTTGTGTTGCCAAAGCAGCAGAGTGAGAGTTCTCATCTGTAAAATTGAAAATAAAATTTAGAATAGAATTGGACGTTTGCAGAGAGATACAGGATTACATCGAACCTTATTTTACACCATCAAAGTATTATACTTATTACAGTAACTTCCTAAGTAATATATATCTTAAAAACACTTCAGAGATAATAAAGACATAATCGTTAAACTAAAAGATTGTGTTTCTAATTCATGTGCCAAGCAGGCTGTAATGAGTAACTATATTGTACCATCCTCTAGGCATTTCTGAATTACTTAATCTAAATTTACATAATTTTCTGTTCATAAATGATGAATAGTTGTATATACCTGATCCTTTCTCATGCTTAACCAAGCACTCTTTCTTACTGCAGCCATCAGTGAAACTATTTCTAACTAATGCCTTCATACATATGTCACAAAACATGAGCTTTTGCTCTGGGTCATATTTTAGCCATGGCCTGCAAACTTTCTTGAACTACTGCCCTTGTTAGTAACCTGATCAGGGCTGTCATTTTCCTTTTCAATAGATGGTGTCTTAAAACCAAATGATGACAATCTGGGTACTTTCCCATCCCTATCACTAAAGGGGAGTTTACGTTTTCCCATTTCATCTAACGATCTATCTTAGTGAAGGGCCAGATCTGATGTGACTAAATATGTACAAAAATATAAAACAAAATCGGCAATATAGTGTAAAAACAACAAAATTATATCTTGTGTTTCTTGCTATTTTAATAGTCGATCAAAAAGGTTAAGAAGCCTATTTCGGGTCCTTTCAAATACACTAGTTTACTAAGTTATGTCTGCAGAAATCACAAACTCGTGCCCAATTGACGACATCGACACACCTAATGATCGACCTACCGTAAGCCAATTCCCGATAAAACAACATCTTTCCTTCAGCTAACTTACCTTATTGTTCACGGCAGAGGCTATCTCGGATTGAGACAATGGAGACATCTTTGGATAATTGGCGATTTTCATTACAGGCGTGTTGCTGTTTAGACAGGTAAACGTTGCTGTCAAAACACAAAAGAGTTCCGATAGCACCAGCTGCGGGAGTCAGTTAGCCGTGACCGTGTAGTACACAACGATGTCGGAGCAAAATTTACCTGTGTCACTCGTTACAAATAAGTTAAACGCCAGTGATTTTTCTCTATACAGTCATCGGTGACTGGAAACGTCTCTAATCGGCATTTTCGCCAATAGAAATTTGAAATCGCCAATCTCATTTCACTTTCGCCAATGGCGCATCGCCAGCGCGAGCCCTGAAATTACAAAAAGCTTACACGTAAATTATGTAAATGATAGCTATTTCATTAAAAATTATGAACAGATATAATGTTGTGATAAGTATAGCTTATCAAGATCAGCAGTTATCCTATTGTGCTGAAACCCTTTGGCTCGTGGGGCCCAAACATGTTTACATGAAATAAGTGAATCCCTGTGATTAAAATCGCTGAGTTTCGATACACTGCTGCTGTTTCTTGTAAAAACATGTTAACCGTGACTTTATTCTATGATATTTAGCAATTTCTTGCCGTTATTTTCTGTGCATGATGTTAATCTATATACTTGGTTCCAGCAGCGTCTTTTAATCCGTTTATTAAACTTTTGACTTATTAGCGTAAATTGTATTCAGTAGATATGCTGTATTATCTAGGGACACTAAATATGAATATCAGGGTTATTTCGTTCACATTGGTTTATAAAGACATATTTAATTTAATCTCGAGAAAATGGTGATCATGACAGTATTTGTTTTCGACTAACACAATTAGATCTATCACACGATGAAGTAAAGTTACTATAGATCCAGTTTCTAACAAACGTTATAACGGTTTTGTTTGATTTAAACATATTTTACTGCAAATAATTATTTTCAAAATACACAAGTATTTTCAACACTTATCACATTGCTTTTCTTCTTTATCCTGTCATTTCTAGATTGGTTAGCTTCGTGTAAATATGAAACAAGAAATCACATTTCTTTAACATTTTCTACTCCGAATAAATGAATAACATAAAAGCCATTATTTTCCAGAGCAGCGTTACACCTGTTGGACTGATAATTAACAAAAACAAACAGGATGAGGTAAACAAACATTTTGATGGTCAACAATTGATAGCGGAACATGCTAATCTTGAATTAGCATACAATGATTGCATGGGTGTGCGTAGGAAGTTAGGGCGTGATATCTTCAAAACAACTTAAGAAAAGGCTCTTGCATCAAAATACGTTTAGCATATATCGTGCGAACACACAAATATAAGTAATCAGCGTACATTAAATATATGTAAAAATATAACATACATAATAATTTACGAGGTATGCAAATACTGGAATTCTATTTTATAAAAGGAAGAAAGAAAACCAAAAAAGATTTCTCGGTATGCGAATCATGAATTTGATGGCAATTGCTAAGCGGCAAGTGCATTTAGTTGTATATTTTTACATAACATTTGGTTGGTCAGAACAAAGATAAGCCGATGGGCATTAAAATCCACCTGTCAGTTATAAAACCGTCACCAAAATACCAGAAAAAGACAAATGTATTGATTAATATTTATTAAAAAATACAAGAACAGTTAACAAAGTATCAACGATTTGTCCGGTGAAATGTCAGATCTAAGAAAAATATTGATTGTGTAAGTGTATAACACATGAGCTTCTATATTGTTATCCATACATGTGTCCAACTAGATAACATTACTTTTATAACGACCAAAAAGGACAAACCGCTATTTTGATATAACGACAAAAAGGACAAACCGCTATTTTGATATAACGACAAAAAGGACAAACCACTATTTGGATGTAACCACAGGGTTGCTAAAACCTCAGCACAAACAGCTGTCTGGATATATTGACAACAGGGTTGCTAAAAGTTCACCACAAACCGCTATCTGGATATATTGACAATAGGGTTGATAATAGTTCAGCACATACCGCTATCTAGATATACTGACAACAGGGTTGATGAAAGTAAAGTTCAGAACAAATCGCTATCTGGATATATTGACAACAGGGTCGCTAAAACCTCAGCACTAACAGCTATCTGGATATATTGACAACAGGATTGCTAAAACCTCAGCACAAATAGCTGTCTGGATATATTGACAACAGGGTTGCTAAACGTTCAGCACAAACATCTGTCTGGATATATATTGACAACAGGGTTGCTAAATACAGTGCAATCCAACTATTCAATCAAATATTTCTTAACCATAGAAATTGACGTAAAAGATAAATTCATGAATTTACAGGATTAACATTGCTCCGTAAATAAAGAATAACTTTTAATAGAGGTCTTTACAAAAAAACAAGCACTACATATCCTGAATCGAAAAAAAGAAAGTGTCATTCACATGTGTTTCTTTTTTTACCATCTTTATGTTAACTGGTAGAAAACAACACATTTCTCACATTTATAACATATATTTTCAAAGCAAACAAAGCTATGACGAATAACAGACAACACGATAAAGCTTAAAGACGGTATATAAGTTTATTTTTAGACTAAAATGTGAACCTACGTCATGTGGTTTGAAAAGTGCAGGAAAGAGTAGGTCATTTGTATATGTGTCAGGTGATTTAGAGAACATAGGTCAGACCAGGATATTTGTATGTGTGTCAACTGATTTAGAGATCATAGGCAAGATTAATTCATTTTTATGTGTGTCATGTGATTTAGAGAATATAGGTCAGGTTAGGACAAATGTATATGTGTCATGTGATTTAGAGAATATAGGTCAGATTAGGACCTATGTATGTGTGTCATGTGATTTAGAGAATATAGGTCAAATTAGGACATATGTGTGTCATGTGATTTAGCGAATATAGGTCAGATTAGGACCTATGTATGTGTGTCATGTGATTTAGGGAATCTAGGTCAGATTAGGACCTATGTATGTGTGTCATGTAATTTAGAGAATATAGGTCAAATTAGGACATATGTGTGTCATGTGATTTAGGACATATATGTATATGTGTCATGTGATTTAGGGAATCTAGGTCAGGTTAGGACATATGTATATGCGTCATGTGATCTAGCGAATATAGGTCAGATTAGGACCTATGTATGTGTGTCACTTGATTTAGATAATTTAGGTCAGATTATATCATGTGGTGTTTTGCAGATACCTTCATCATCATGCGTATCATGTGAGTTGGTATAAAAATTCTTCAGATTGCGATATAAGCGTGTATATTTGTGCTGATGATGCAAGCGATGACACATGTCACAGAATATTGATTGTAAAACCCCACTTACTGTGCCGATAGTGTATTTTTTCTTCCATTGAAAAAATTTCAAATAACTGTCAAAATTATTCGATAAAAACTTAATACGATTTGCAAGTTCTTTTACGCTTTTGAAATTTTTTGTGTCAAGAAAGGAATGTGGTGGGTGATACAGTGTCCGATTGGCACCATCTCTAATCAATGGCACGATCTGATGACGTAAAACAAGATGAAGAGACTTTTCTGTGACATAATCTTTGCACAAGGAATTTTCAAAAGATAGATAAAATTTATATCTATTGTCAAGTACATCAAAACAATGGTCCTGATGATCAGACGTCACATTCCACACACCTTTCCATTTAGTGTTAAATTCTCCACCACATCTTAGATTCCCGCACCTGCCGAAGATGTCTATGTCAACACCATGCGACCGAAGTGCACGTATAAATTTCTCACGCTTCGACGATGCATTGCAGTGACTTATGAAGCCGACAGCTGTTTTTGATTTTGATCGCAATAATTTTTCATCCACATTATATCCTGTGTCTTGCGGATGGAATAGCCCATGTACCAACGAGAAATCCGAATCCCTTCGATAAGTAAGCGTCCAGTTGACAACTTTATTTCGCCAACAGCGTTTCTTTTCATAACGAGCGTTGTAATCTGGTGACTCGAATTCAAACATAATCCAAACTTGACTTCTTTGTTTTTTCCAATGTCTACAAAGAGTTAACCAGTTAATCATCACAGCATCAGCGTCATCTACCAAGGACTTATTTAGAGTGAGGATGCAGTTTGTGGATAATGGACATGACTTAAACACTTCGGTGGTATCCCATCTGCGGCCGACCCACTCATTCAGCCATCTGCTCTTACTATAAGCAAGGATTGTCTTTGTCGTAGAAAAATCGGCTTCATCGTGTGCTCTTTGAATTCCTTGTACATCAGAAGCCTTATCCTGAGATGTTTCGACACTCATGTACACAGTATTGTTGTTTAATCCTGAGTATTCCGTCACCAGTATAACGATACACAGCACACATAAGGCGACCCCTGCCGTACGAATGGATGACAATCCTGACAAAGCCATAATATTCACACCTGAAATAATAAGAAGGAACCTTATTACTATTGCGTCAATGAATTCTTACCCCAAATGTTGTTCCAAGATTAAACCTGGATTAAACAGATTACGTCACTGCTCATTCCTGTTCGGTACCCCCCCCCCTCTCTCTCTCTCTCTCTCTCTCTCTCTCTCTCTCTCTCTCTCTCTAGGAAGCATTGTAACAAAACATATGTAGACTAGATTTTCGGATAACATAACCTCAGGCATCAGATTAGTACTATGGTTAAAAAAACTCATGTCGACCTCAAACCCAGTCAGCAAATGCATATTGCTAAATGAAAGGCGTATCATTTATCTTTCTCATAAAATTCAAACCAGCCATGAACGTCTTAATGTAATGTATAATACTGAGATTTAAAGTTTACCAACTCGATGTTACTTCCGAGCATGTCCCTCATTCCTTTATTTCCGAACCAGCAATATGTAACACCAAATGTTTGACATACCTGGGTAGTCGTATATATCGAAAATAACTTGAACACTGTGATTCATTTTTTCAATAGTTTTTTCATTGTTTGTTCTGTCAATAGTCGTGATAAATTGAAAACACAACATGCTGGTTTTTGACATAGACCTGGACGATTGATGCTTATGATAAGCATCAAAGACTCCACAGCTTAGCGTTAAACTAGAAGACAAAAAACGAAATATTGATTTTTTGTTTGTTTGTTGTTTTGTTATCTTTAAAGACTTAAATATAAAGTATATCTAAAAATTGATAAAAGACAGAAGTAATCACGACTAGGAGATTATCATTATTTTAACTGACAAACATCGTTGGCGAACAGCTTGTAATTATGTCCCAACTCTTTGATTCTACGATAATCTAATAGAGGTTTTCCTCTCTTGTTATCAGGGTGTACACTTCTTAGATGATCCTCCACTTCCTCCTTGGAACTTTCAAGACGACCTGATCTTTCATCTCCCAACAGGGACTTTGTGTACCGGAAACGGTCACGAAGACACTTATCTCCTCTAACACTTTATTTTTTTTTCAAATATTTTTGATATGATTTGTCCATTTAAAATTTTCGTTTAATAGAACTCCCAAGTGCCTATGCTAATTTACAAAATTAACACTTACATTATTGAATTTGATGTTTCAAACCTTGTGGAACAATGTATTAACAGTTTTAATAGAATATTTAGAATCACTCAGCAAAACATGCTGCCTTTTTTACTTATATGATTAACGACCTTCTTACATACCATAATTTGAAAGAGTCACCTCCATTCCCTTGTGCCGATCAAAGACTTTCGAAATATTACAAAAAACTAGACATGTAGGATTTTTTTTCTAAATTCTCACATAAAGTCTGGTAAATTTCAATAAGTTTATGAACCGGCGAGTGACCTGGCTAGAAACCAGACTGATATTTGAAAATAAATGAATTTTCAAGCAAGTAATTATTAAGGTATTTTTACAATTAGTCTTTCAAAAATTTTTCCAACAGTACTAAGTACCGATATTGGCCCTTTAATTTGCAAAATTATACTTATCGCCTTTTGAACAGCGGTACTACTAAAACATGCTTCCATAGTTTTGGAAAAACTCCAAAAACTCTAAACATTAGAGACATTGGAAAAGCTACAGATGTTGCTGTATGTTTTTACATATTATGACTAATTTTGTCAATACCAACATATTTGTTAACATTTATATGTCTCAATATGTTAGTGATGTCTTTCAAATCAAACTGTGTGTCCGAAATAGTGGAGATTTTCAGAAGTTCTAATGTTGGTATTTCAATCGGTCATTGTCGTCAATAGTAGAGATGGAAACAAAAGTTTATCAGTAAAGATGTTAGCCTAACCACCATCTCTTGTTTTGCAAGTTTGTCAACCTATTTTGAATAACAGAGGGCATACCAAATGAATTAACCTGAACACTTCTACTTACAACATTTTAGCTTAAATCAATCTAACCAGATAGAAAGTTCAGAATTTTGAATAGATAAGAATAAAATGGATCGATAAAAGAATACAAAGTTAAAACATGTCATTTATCAGTTAACCAAATATCTTACTTGGGTTTAATGGAGATTTGACCCTACTTAACATGTCCCACATCCACGGCTCTCATCGGCCGTCGAGCTCGTGCAAACAGAATTAAATCAAGGGCAGTAACTCTGGGTGATCAAAATTCCTAGCCAGCAATTGTAAATTTATCAACTGACTTCCCTAACTCATTATAATGTTCTACCTTATACTGGTGTCACAATCTTCAGGAATCTATTTAAATACAAAAGAGTGGATTGCGTGATCAATATCTTAATAAAACCCGTCATGGATTGTTCACAAGCATATTGATTACAAAGCTCTCTATCCCCTACCTTGCTTTTTATTTGAACATCAAATAATGTAGGTTCCTTTCGAGACGGTTGTTAGTAGATCCGCAAGCGATGTCTTATAACACTATTAGCATATCATAACATAAATGTGCTTTTAAGGCAGTTGGTATGGAAACTGTACGACATCTATTAATTATTACAAACATAAACAACCTTATTCATGTACAGTTATATTTTGTATCTGTGATGCATTCAGGCATTCTAATCAAAATGCCGATTCAATAGAATTTGACGACATCCCACAAGGGTGAAATTTAGCAGCCCTTTACTCTCCGACTGGTCTCTGTGTGTATAAGGCGGGGGTGTTTTCTGCCCTGTTCGTGTGTTTGTAAAGCTTGCCTGATGCTATAGACTTGTCGTATCATTATGTATTAGTGTAGCCGTAGTATGTACTAAGTAATGCATTTTACTTATTTCAGTCTATCTACTATGATAACCATTGTTTAAATGTTACATGCTAGTTGCTTCCAAATAAAACAAGTGTGTTCGTGTAACACGTAGACGTCCCACTACACAAGAGACACATTGCTATTATAAACCATGTAGTTTACCCACACAGCGATATCTAGCCGACTTAATGACAAAGTGAGACCCTTTAATCGGCGTGTTTATTGTGATTACTAACTGCATTCCCGACGGTGTCTATACAACCTAGAGATAAATTCTATTCTGAATAACACTGAGTCGAGGCAGTATTATGGTCAAATGTAAGTTAGTACAGTTACATGTCATCAATATATAGTTATACTGTATATTCGAAGCCCCGTGGCCGACACATTCCTCTCGTGTATACCTGTGACTGTTGATGACAGCCACTCCTACTTTGCGGTTACATATAGATTTTATACAAATTACAAATATTGGTTGCTGGTGGAACCCAACCCCCACCCCCCTTCTCTCTCTCTCCATCTCTCTCTCTCTCCGACCAACAGATTTTCTTTTAGATCCAAATATTTTTTGATAGATATATACATGTACAATGAACATTTTTGTGTTCGTATTCGTCTCACTAGTCCACATACTCTGTAAATATCATTAACAAGATTTAGAAAAGAATGGTTGTTCGTTTTTCTACGTTTCTGATTTTCCCAGCTTTTGAACGTTCAGCGACCATAGAAAAAATTACCATATAGACCAGCCGTATAAAGTACCGCAGTAATTTTGCTACAGGGTCGTGGTCCCAGGTATGAAATCAATTTAACACCAGTCAAGAGTTTTACAAACAATATTTAAACAAACAGTGATCTAATTACCTACACAGGACTGTAAGATAAATGTTTGGAACCGAATGTCCGATAGAGTAAGATATTAAGATATTAGATTTTAAGAAAAAATTCACAGCTGTGACAAAACTATATGAACCGTATTGCACTGTATTGCAATTAATTTAATTATTTACTTCATTAAGACAAATATGACAGACTTACGTTTGTTTCACCTCCGCACGTCCACAACGGCCATTATCGATAGTATGACTTGACCAAACTAGGCCTATATCTGAACAATTATTTCAATCTATGTCTAACCACGTCACAGTCCCGAAGGCTGTCTATTATACCTCAGTTTCTAGTTTCTTTGTATACAATTGTGTACACGAAAAACAACACATGGCATTGTATTGAACTCTGTTTGTGCTATACAGCGGTATGTTAAAAGATTGTTCTGTCTGTAAAGAAAATTAGCTGAATTTCGAAACTCAACTCTACGTTTTTGATACGAATGCTTGTAGTCTATAAGATAATAGGGCTGAAATCTCGGGTTTTCATAAACCCCCACCTATTGAGAAACTACATGTAAGTTATTTTATGTATACTCCACCTACAGAAAACTAAAACATAAGTATGAAATGAAAATGGCCACCATAAGGTGACAAGTTTATTAGAAATTATAGGAAACATATGTAACTATTAACAAGATACATACAAATATTATAAAAAATACAGTATTTATATTATTCTCATACTTAATATAAAGGTGGGGGTTCGGTAGAACAACGCCACAAAGTGGAAAAATTACTGTAAACAGTAATTTTTAAACTTCCCCACCAAAGATTATCAGGGGTAAGGAAAGCTACTACACATGGTACGATCTACCAAGACCTAGGTTGAGTTCCTCTGGAAATTAAAGGTAAAATACATACTTTTAAGTATTTATATAAAATTAAAACATCACGGCCACTGTATTTCTCAGGTTTGTTGCCAAAATATGTTAGAAAACGGAAGCGAATGGCTGTTTGGTGTACGAAATGAACTGTTTGGATAGGGATCTTGGGTACATATGAAGATATGTGATTATATCATACTTATTTTTTAAAAAAAAAACTGGTTTTATCGATATCTTAAAACAAGAATGCAGTGAAAAGATAAATTAATCTGAAATATGTTCGCTGTTTAAATATATCGATGAGGACTTTTGTTTTCAAAATTATCTTACAAAATCCGTAGGTCTGCGAATTCTAATTTGAAGGAAATAGCAGAAATCATAATGTAATCACACAAACTGAATATTGAAATTAATACTATAGAAAGGAATAATAGAACTCGCTCTTTATTTAACAGTGGTGACATAAAAGATAGATTTCATTTCATAATTAAATGTGAATGATATGCAGAT